AACGCAGAACATTTTAAAATTAGCTGCCTAAGATTTTGACCTAGAAAATCATCTAACTGTATAGCTTTGTGCCTCAAGAGTCAGAATTGATGCATTCAGTACATTCATCCTGGGAGAAGCTCTTTAAGAAAAGGGAACGGAGGCCAAGAGGTGATACTTTTTCATTGTAGAACTGAAGTAAAGGAAACTTATCCTCTTGGAAGTGAGCCTTACTCCATCTATTACAATAATCCCAGAGTTTGTTAAAATGGGGTTGGTCTGGAGAACATTTGGTGGTTATTATGATGCTGTTATCTGTTCTTCTTTATCAGTAGCAGTTAAAAATTGCTCCATCATCATCATCATCATCTGGATTATTGTGCCAACATTTTAATTTTTTTATTTTTGATCATTATTTTATTACATTTAGATCTTTTCTATACAATAACTAATAAATGGGCAATAGAAGAAGGGCAATAGAAGAAGGGGACGACAGGGAATGAGATGGCTGGATGGAGTCACTGAAGCAGTAGGTGTGAATTTAAATGGACTCCAGAAGATGGTAGAGGACAGGAAGACCTGGAGGAACATTGTCCATGGGGTCGCGACGGGTCGGACACGACTTCGCAATTAACAACAATTAACAACAACATACAATAACTACATTTGACTTGATAACAAATATTTTAAGTGCTAGTTTTGCTTGTAATTTCCAGGAGTCCCTTGGACATTTAATAGTATCCATCAATCAATCTGCCTCCTGGTTCTTGACATAGAAGTACAGGTTGTCCTCGACTTAAAACAGTTCCTTTAGGGACCGTTTGAAGTTACAATGGCACTGAAAAAAGTGCCATATGACCATTTTTCACACTTATGACCATTGTAGCATCCCCATGGTCATGTGATTTACATTCAAAGGTTTGGATGGAAACTAATCAAAGAGAGAAGCAACCTAGAACTAAGCAGAAATTTCTTGACACTGAGAACAATTAACCAGTGGAACAACCTGCCTCCAGAAGTTTTGAATGCGCCAACACTGGAGGTTTTTAAGAAGACACTGAGCAAACATTTGTCTGAAATGGTATAGGCCTGAGCAGGGGGTTGAACTAGATGACCTCCAAGGTCCCTTCCAACTCTGTCATTCTGTTATTCTGACAACTGACTCATATTTATGACGGTCGCAGTGTGTCCTGGGATCTTGCGATCCTCTTTAGCGACCTTCTGTCAAGCAAAGTCAATGGGGAAAAGCAAGATTCCCTTAATAACTTAAACACTGCAGTGATTCACTTAACAGATGTGGCAGGAAAAGTCATAAAATGGGGCAAGATTCACTTAACAAATTTCTCACTGAGCCAACATAAATTTCAGGCTCCATTGTGGTCATAAATTGAGGGTGGTCTGTATTTGTTTAATGGCCAAAGTTACAACAGTACTGAAAAAAAGTGACTCATGACTGGTTTTTACACTTACTGTCAAGCGTGGGGGGGGGGGGGAAATCAGGAGATCCAGACAGTCCAAATGAGTCTAAAGATTTATTGCAAGCTTAAGCTTTTTACAAGAATCTGACCAACCAGTGTCAAGGGAAATGAGTGGGAGATAAGAGAGGCATTCAAGGTGGGCTGGACAATGATCTTTTCTAGGCAAACAGGGACTCATGACTTATGATATATTTGACCCTTCCCTCAGGCTCAGGCTGGTCATCTCCTAAACTTACCACCATTGCAGGATTGCAGGGTCCAATCTGGGTCGGTGACCCGGATGAGAGGTTTTATCTTCCGAGCTTTTGGACTTGTGCTTGGAAGCTCTGGTCCCAGTAACCGATCCAGATTGGATCGTGCAACATTATCCTGGGGCGCATATATTCGCCTTCATTCATTGCATCATTCTCAGAGTCACCTGATCCAAATCTGAATGTTTGGCAACCAGCATGTAGTTACAATGGTTGCAGCAGCCCGGGCTCATCCGATCACCATTGGTTGACCTTCCCAATTGTCTTCCAACAAGCAAAGTCAATGAAGGAAGTCAGGTTCACATAGAGAACGCCTGATTTACTTAACAATTGCAGTGATTCGCTGGACCATGGCAAAAAAAAGTTAAATTTGTGCATGGTTCAATTAACAACCACCTTACTTAGCCCTAAAAATTCTGGTCCCAGGTTTGTTCATAAATTGAGGACTACCTGTAGACCTAAACTTACTAAAGAAAACCTTTAAAAAAATAATAGAACAGAACAGAACAAAATAGAATAGAAAATATGGAATGGAATAGAATAGAATAGAATAGAATAGAATAGAATAGAATAGAATAGAATAGAATAGAATAGAATAGAATAGAATAGAATAGAATAGCAGAATTGGAAGGGACCTTGGAGATCTTCTAGTCTAACCCCTTGCTCAGGCAGGAAATCTTATACCATTTCAGACAAATAGTTGTCCAGTCTCTTCTTAAAAACTTCCAGTGTTGGAGCATTCGCAACTTCTGGAGGCAGGTTGTTCCACTAATTAATTGTTCTAACTGACAAGAAAGTTCTCCTTAATTCTAGGTTGCTTCTCTCTTTGATTAGTTTCCATTCATTGCTTCTCGTCCTGACTTCAGGTGCTTTGGAGAATAGCTTGACTCCCTCTTCTTTGTGGCAACCCCTGAAATATTGGGACACGGCTATCCTGTCAACCCTCGTCCTTCTCTTTATTAGACTAGACATTCCCAATTCCAGCAACTGTTCTGCATATGTTTTAGCCTCCAGTCCCCTGATCATCTTTGCCTGCCAAGCATCACCAGCTATTTTCAAGTGGTGTGCCACTGAATGTTTTCAAAGATACTTACAGAGGCAGATTGATCACATAAAAACACAGGGGAAAACAATTCATACAGATCATGCACACATCATAGAAAAGAAATGGGCTAGGGCTGCTACGAAAACAAGCAGACATTTCCAGGTTTACTTGTGCTTAGAAAAGGCCCCCTTAAAATCTCTAGGGCTTCTGCTAGCCTTATTAAATGAGCATTTCGATTTCAAGGTTTGGAAACGGAGACTGGAAAACAGAAATGACCATACTAAGCTGTAAAGATCCTGCTTAATGTACTGGTTTTACACTGGGATAGGGAGCTGAGAGGACAGGTTGAATGTCTGCTTTTTCAGCTGATTCATTTAGCAAGTCTGCTTTCAGCCTGGTGGAACTGGATGGACTTTAGCAGGTCTTCCCATAACGCTTTGCAATGCAGATGTTCTCTGTAGCCAGTGTGCAGAGGTTTTCTTTGCAGACAAGCCAATGTGGGTTCCCTCAAGGCAGAAAGTTTGAAAACAACTCATCCAAATATAACATCTCCACGGATTAGTAAATCTGTGCTCTGAGACACCGTTGGGAGCACTCTCTCTCTCTCTCTCTCTCTCACTCCCTCTCTCTCTCTCTCTCTCTCTCTCACACACACACACACACACACACACACACACACACCCCTGAACTCATATGGGGCTACAGATAAAAGAGGAACCCAATATTTTTAGTGAAGACAAATGATTTTAGAAAGTTTCCTAAACTTCTACAGGAGCTTCCTCTTTCTTCTCGAAAAAAAATATATGTATTGATCAGAAATTAAGGCCCATTGAGTCATAACTAGTCAAGATATTTGGTCCGGTATGTGTAGTGCATGTTTACCAGACCAAAGAGGGATGGGGTTTAGTTCTTCACTGCTTTCCCAATTAAAATGTTCTCCACTCCCAGGGCTTCTGCAAAGCCTCTGGGGAAATATTGCTGGATAACACACAGGTAACTGTATCTCCCTCCCGTGAATCACCCCGTGGAACAGGAACGGTAAATATAATGATTCCCTAGAGTAGAACTCTGGGCACCAATTCAGGAGGCGTCATCTGGATGACCTTGGCTGCTAGGAATATCACCAGGATATCTTGCTATTTACTTAGTTTAGGAGATTACAACTAAAATTAAAAGTCTCAGGAAATAATGGCAAACGCTACTGATATTGACGTGAAAAACAATGCACATGCACACCTTTTAAAAGGAGGGGGGAAATCTAAGCATCCCTATTTAATCATTTAAAGAAAGGAAGATGTACATTATCCATTTGAAAGTGTTACTTTTCTGTAAATGCAGGAGGAAATGAATAAATCTATTCTTAATTGTAGAGTTTTTTTAAAAAAAACTCTCTATGTTATTGTGTACAAGATATGTACTCCTACATGTAGGAATAGCATCAAGATCATGAGAATTGATACTATTGCTTTATACCACACTAGTGAGGCCACAGTTGGAATACTGCATCCAGTTCTGGTCACCACAAAAGGAAAAAAGATATGGGACCCTGGAAAGTGTGCAGAACAGAGCAACAAAGATAATAAAGGGTATGGAGGCTAAGTTGTATGATGAACGGTTGAGGGAGCTAGGTATGTCCAGCCTATTAAAGAGACCAGGAGGGACATCCCAGCTGTACTTGGGCTGTCACTGAGAAGAGGGGATTGACTTATTCTCTAGGGCACCAGAGAGCAGAACAAGAAGTACTGGATGGAAGCTTGTTAAAGAGAGACCCAGCTTAGAAGTAAGGATAACTTGAGACTCCAGAAAGAGTGCAGAGAAGAGCAACAAAGATGATTAGGGGACTGGAGGCTAAAACATATAAGGAACGGTTGCTGGAATTGGATATGTCTAGTTTAATGAAGAGAAGGATGAGGGGGGACATGATAGCAGTGTTCCAATATCTCAGGGGCTGCCACAAAGAAGAAGGTGTCAAGCTGTTTTCCAGGGCACCTGAAGGCAGGACAAGAAGCAACGGATGGAAACTAATCAAGGAGAGAAACAACCTAGAACTAAGGAGAAACTTTCTGACAGTTAGAACAATTAACTAGTGGAACAACCTGCCTCCAGAAGCGGGGAATGCTCCAACACTGGAGGTTTTTAAGAAGAGACTGGACGGCCATTTGTCCGAAATGGTATAGGGTTTCCTGCCTGAGCAGGGCGTTGGACTAGATGACCTCCAAGGTCCCTTCCAACTTTACTACTACTACTACTACTACTACTACTACTACTACTACTACTACTTTCTGACAGTGAAAACAATCATTGAAATAATTTGCCTCCTGCAGTTAGGCTGCTCCATTACTAGAGGTCTTCAAGAAGAGATTGGACAAATTCGACCGGGATAGTGTAAGGTCTTCTGCCTTGAGCAAGGGGTTGGACTAGAAGACCTTTGAGATCCCGTCCAGCCTTATGATTCTATGTTCTATATTCTACAATGTTTACAATAAAAGGTCTACAACAAAGGAATGGGTTGACCCTCTTCAAGACTTTTCCCAGTTTCACACCAGCATTCCTTTGCAAATCCAGGTCATTTCTGGGTTTCTTTGCTGGAGAGATGCTACTGGGGAAAAAAAAAAAAAAACCCCAGGAAAGATGCTTATTCCTGAAATTTTCCCTGGGATTTGATTGCAAATGAGGGGAAGCCATGGAGGCTGAAGACCCCTGTAGAGGTTATCCAGTCAGAGGCAGGCTATTTTTTTTCATGTCTTGCTTGGTCTTTTTGCATATTCCAGGCACAAGCAGTTCAATTCTCGTCTTAGAAAGAATGTCTAAAATAAACCGTCTTTCATCAAATCAAGTGAAAACTAAAAAAAAAAAAAAATATGCAGAAAAAGTTATCTCAAAATTAAACGCCAACAGATGCAGCTTAACAGCGGGTTTATCCTGGAAGCAAAGGAAGGACTTAGCTTCTGTTGGACTCAGCTGTTTGGTGACCAGGTAGATGGGACAAATATTTTCATATTATCCTAGAAATAGGCTGAAACCCACAAGTTAGTTGCTCAGGCAGCCTTTACCAGGGTTATATGTGGCTTGGGGGGGGGAGGGGAGTTTCGTTCTCACATCATATAATGCTCCTTTCCAATAGCATTAATTAAAACCAGCTCTCCCAACTTTGTTTTGGAAGTTGGGTGCTTTGGATTATCATTTCATCATCTGCCACCGGATTTGGTTTCAGAGAATGACAGAATTTATTTGCTTAAAGCCGCAGAATGAAAGTCTAGTAGATCCCAACTGTTAGGTTTTTGCCAGATGTCAAGATAAGGGTAGCGTATACGGTTGCTTCTTTTCACTCCCTTGCTTCCCGTTTAAAGATTGAAATTGCTTGCAGACGTTCCTGAACGGTGTATTATTTGCAGGTCCACCCTCGCAGGGTTGAGAATATTTGAGAGCAGAAATCCTTGGGAAAAAAGGCAGAATCTAAGTATTCTCTATTTTTGAAAGGAAGTTGAATCATACACTGAGAAAAAGGAAACTGTTAGAAAGTTAAAGTTGATTTGTATTTGTCCACACTGAAATCAAGCTAAAAAAAAACACCTCATCTTTTAGCTGAGTGGGAAAGGGCCTCTTAGGCAGAAATTAGTGGAAAACTCCTTATAATTTCTAAGATTTTATGACGTATCATAACCACCCCTAATCATGAATCAGTTACAGATACTAGAGAATTATTCCACAAAGAAAGATACTGATTTTAAATATGTCATCCTGTAGGAAACAAAAATCCAAGATACACTAAAAGTATAAAACCAAAAATATATTGGAAAAAAAGCCAACTGTAGCAAATAAATCAGATATCAAGAAAAGACATCAACTTAAGAATTTCTAGACAGGTGTACAAATAAGCTTAGTTATGTGCTTTTTTATTATCGCATTGCACATGTAATGCATTTATTAATGAATTGGGCTAATGAAAACCCAAGTGAAAGCTAATGAAGCATGTAGCTTCTGCAGAAGTTCACAACTTCCTTCCAGGGACACAGCAATGCTTTTAGGTCTCAAAAAACATCATGAAATATAAAAACCCCTACCTTGCTTCAAGAAAAAAATAATTTATGACCCCAAAATAATTTATTTTAGGAAAAAAGATACATCTCTTGATGTACCTTTGGGATTGGCTATATTATGCTCTGCTTTAAAAAAAAAAATTCTTCCAGAGACAAAATCTGTCCTACTCCTTGGCTTTCTCTGAAGCCACCAAATAACACTTTTGATAACTGCTGCTGTCAAAACTAGCATCTTATCTGACCATGTCTGGCCATGAAAACTTCATATATCTGTGTCACACCACCACCTCCTGGTCACTGAGGATTGAAGCAATTTAAAATACATTCAGTTGCACGGGCAGGCTGATTCTCCTCCAGCCTTAGGACCTGGGATACACCACACATGCCTTGATCGGCATGTGTGGTGTAGCCCAGGTCCTAAGGCTGGAGGAGGGCTACAAGGTGGGAAGCGGTAGGGATCTGATAGGCTGGCCAGTTTAGACAAGCTAAGCAGTTCCTGAAGGTTTTTAAGAAGAGACTGGGCAGCCATTTGTCTGGAATAGTATAAGGTCTCCTGCTTGAGCAGGGGGTGGGACTAGAAGACCTCCAAGGTCCCTTCCAATCCTGTTAATCTATGTGCTATGTCCACGTTCTATGTTCCTTGTCAACGTACTTGAGGTTAGCTCTATTGTTAAGAGACAGAATCTTTCAGGAAGACAGCAGAGCTGAAGAAGTTCATTGTTGCTGTTGTTGTTTAAGACGGGAGTTAAATAGGCTTCATGAAGCCGAAGGAAACTACAATCATGTTTTCACCACTTCAAAGTCACAGCATCAATTGATTCAAAATACTTTTCATTGGGAGAGAGAACTTTGAGATTATCAGCCGATAAAGGATAAAAAACAATGGGGTTTCTCTAGGCTGCAATTTCTTTTTAAGAGCTGGGCTTTGGCCTATACTGCATTTCAGGGAAATTTTCATGGTGAGGTAAGGAGGAGAAAAGGTAGGAGCACTTAATCAGGAAATTGGAAAAGATAGTACAGATAGTCCTCGACTTACACCAGGGGTCTTCAAACTTGGCCCTTTTATGACTTGTGGACTTCAACTCCCAGAATTCCTCAGCCAGTCCACAAGTCATAAAAGAGCCAAGGTTACCTACCCCTGGACTAGACATACCCAATTCTTGTAACTGTTATTCGTATGTTTAGCCTCCAGACCCCTAATCATTTTTGTTGCTCTTCTCTGCACTCTTTGCAGAGTATCAACATCTCTTTTATATTGTGGTGATCAGAACTGGGTGCAGTATTCCAAATGTGGTCTTACTAAGGCTTTGTAAAGAGGTACTAGAACTTCTTGTGATCTTGATTCCATCCCTCTATTAATGCAACCTAGGATTGCACTTAAAACTATAATCCCCATGCTTTTAAGAATGCAGCCTATTTTTTTTAAAAAAATGTCTTTTTAAAAACTTTTTTATATTTGTCAGCTCTAGCCAATCATCTCAAGAAATCTCGCAAGTGTGCATGCTCTTTTATGTTTATTTATATCATTAGTTCCTGCTGAGTATGCGGTTCTATGTTTGCTTTTTAGGCCAGGTCAACCACAGTTGTGTTAATTGTGGTGCACTTCAAGCCATCAATTGTGGAGTATGGCAAGCCCTAAACCATGGTTTGTTATTCATACAATGGTTGAGATCACCCAACCTGATAAGCAAAAATCCAAAGAGGCTATATTAGGATTTGGGAAGCCTAAAAAATGAAGCCACTAGAATAAGACATTGTACAAGAGCACCTTTAACTTGCTCATTTTTAAAATGTGTGATGATTGTATATTTTGGAATTCACCTTCTCTGCTGTGCCTTGAAGCACCCTCTCATTTGGCAGGGTTCTGTGCAAGCCAACAAAAGAAGTAAGTGTTGGCTGCTTAAAAAAAAATCATAACTCCCTAAAGCAATGATACTTTATGTAGGCCTAAAGCATTCCTCCAATCTTGTTCAAAGCATGTACAAATATGTAGTTTACCTTGTTTTTCTACTTCTTAACCTTTGCTAATCCTTACACTAGAAAGCTGATTTGTAGGTTGTATCCATCTGCACAGCAAATGCATTGGCCATCAGACATTCAGTCACAAAAGTTTTCCAATTTTCCATAGATGGCAGCAAAGTACAGTCTTGAAGATAGAACATGAATGGTCTCTACTAACCGAAGTAGCCAACTCAATGTAATAGAACTCTCTTTAAACCTAGTTTCTTCCCGTAAAAGTAAACAGCATTTCCTATAACCAAGAAGCTTGGTTATCTGCAAATTAGTGTCCAGAAGAAATGTACTTTAGATCCTTTAAAATCATCCAGTTTTCTCATCTAAAAGCGCCATTTTAGATCCAATAGCAAGAAAAAATATTTTTGGTTCTTACCTGATCTAAAGATGAAGTTGCAATAAGCCAGGATTGGGTTAACCGTAGTTTAAGCCACAATAGAATGCATTCACACGTGTACTAAACTACATACCATAATTTGCAAATTTTAATAGATTGAACTAGCTTTCCTAAATGGGCCCTCTCTTTGTGATGACCTACCTCAGCAACCGAATGAAGACTATGACATGGTTGAGAATCACAGATATGATCTTGGACAGGGAATACAGCTGACTTTTTCATTCTGTTTTCAGCCAGTTAACTAGCCGTATTTTTCTTCAGGACAGTTATAATCCAATGTTATTCAACCTTAGCAAAGTTAAGATGTATGGACTTCAACTCCCAGAATTCTCCAGCAGGAAAGGAATTCTGGGAGTTGCATTCCGCACCTCTTAAAGTTGACAAGCTTGACAAACATTAATCTATACACTGTATGTTCTACCATCTGATACCTTACAAGGTGCACAATATTCTGATAGGGGAAAAAAAACAATGAATATCTTTTAGAATAAATAAAGAATAACGTTTATTCCTACACAAACTCTGTGGAACACAGTACATTCACTTGATGAAGTAGACTGGGATCCATAACAGTTTAACAAAAACATCATTCTTTAAAGTGATATGGGAAGCATCTTATGATCATTGACCATGTTCAATCCCCACCCTATGGTCTTAGAGAGATTTTCACAGCAGACTGTGGGTGACCTTGAAAAAAAACTAAGCAGGATCAGATTTTATTCACAAATGAACAGGAGACCAGGAAAAAGTCTCAAAGCCATAGAGGAGACTGGAAAGTCAGGAAAATAATCTTAGAAAGCATTACGTTTTTATTGATTTTTATTACGATTTTGTTGCTGGTGTTGGCATTGCTTTTATTCTTTTTATTCTTTTATAGGGATCCACATAGCTACGATGGCTATAGCATCCCAAGGTCATGTAATCACCATTTGCAACTTTCCCAGCCAGCTTCCGACTAGCAATGTCAATGGGAAAATCTGATTCGCTCACGGAAAGAGCGGTTCACTTAAGAACTGCAGTGGTTTGCCAAACAACCGCGGCCGAAAAGGTAAAAAAAAGAATGGGCAAAACTCACATTAAAACCCTCTTGCTTAGCTACAAAAATTCTGATCCCAATTGTGGTTGTTTCCTGCCTGGACTACCTCTAAGGGCTAACCACTCAACTGCTCAATATTGTAGAAAACTGTTTTACATTTCTGTCCCAATGGCAGTAGCACTTGGACTTATATATCACTGCACAGTGCTTTACAGCCCTCTCTGAAGTGGTTTACAGAGTTAGTATCTTGTCCCCAACAATCTGGGGTCCTCATTTTACCGATCTTGGAAGGATGGACTGAGTCAACTTTGAGCCACTGAGGATCGAACCCTTGGCAGTCAGCAGAATTAGCCTGCAATGCTGCATTCTAACCACTGCACCCTCATAGCTCCTTATCCAATCAGCACCACAACTGAGCACTAGGAGATTTATTCCCACATCATCTTAGGGCAGTGGTGGCGAACCTATGTGTATTAATTGTTGACAATGCAGATCTGTAACTCTCTAGAGCAGTGGTGACGAACCTATGGCACAGGTGCCAGAGGCGGCACTCAGAGCCCTCTCTGTGGGCACGCATGCTGTCGCCCCAGTCCTAGGCCTTCAGCTGGGTTTTATAAAACCTTTTCGCTTTAGGCCTCCGCCGCCGTGTGCAAAAAAAAAAAAAGGTTCAATCAATCAGTCAATTTCAACTTCTAGCGGGGGAAAAAAAGATCTTGCAAAGTTGGAATTCATTGATTGAACTTTTTAGTCCCACCCAGTTACCACCGCAGCCACTCCCACCCAATAGGCCACACCCATCCAATGGGCCACACCCACCCGGCCCCCGACGATGCGTAAGTGAGTTTTGGGTTGCAGTTTGGGCACTTGGTCTCTAAAAGGTTCGCCATCACTGTCTTAGGAGTATTTTAATCCCTTGTTAACCACAGTTGTTCTCCATTAGTGGTACCCATGATCTGTAGGCAGATGCAACACTCATCCACAATTGGAGAAGAGCCAGAAGGTGCCCCCAAAGGAACTTCAGCTGCTTTCCAGTTGAGTGCACCGAGATTGTGTTAAGATAAGCCACTCTGGTGTAGTGGTTAAGGCACCAGACTAGAAGCCAGGAGAGTGTGAGTTTTAACCCTACCTGAGTGCAACAAAAAGCAGCTGGCTGACTTTGGGCCAGTCGGTCTGTCTCAGCCCAATTCATCTCATGTCGTAGTTGCTGTGAGGAAAATAGGAGGCGGAAGGAAGATTAGTTATGTTCACCGCCTTGAGTTACTTATAAAAATAATAAAGGGTGGGATAAAAATGAGTAAATGAAGACAGTCAGCATCTCCTGGTGTTCATACCAGGAACAGCCTTTGAAAAGCTTTGGACTTTAGATCCAGAGCAAAACAGTAAACTACAGGCAATTCTTGACTTACAACTTGACTTATGTCAGTTTTTCATGTTTACGACCGTTGCAGCATTCCCACAGTCACAGGATCAAAATTCAGACACTTGGCAACCGGCTCATATTTAAGACGGTCACAGTATCCCGGAATCATGTGATCACCTTTTGTGACCTTCTTGACAAGCAAAGTCAATGGAGAAGCCAGAATTACCTAACAACTGTGTTACTAATTTAACAACCATGGTGATTCAGTTAACAACTGTGGCAAGAAAGGGTGTAAAATGGGGGAAAAACTCACTTAACAACATCCTTGCTTAGCAACAAATTTTGGGCTCAGTTGTGGTTATAAGTGCAGGATTACCCATAATGCAAAGTGTTAACATATCTGATTTTGTTTGGGATGCATTTTGAGTTTAGGGGAAGATTGTTCCCAACAGTGCCTCAGCCCCAGTCGGTTCCCAGTCCTTATTTTACAGTTAGTGTGACAAAAACTGTCAGTAGTGTTATTACAAAAAAAAAAAAAGTTCTTTCCGCTTAGTGTAACCAAGAAAGGCAATACTGTAACAACAGAATGCCTGTAAGCAGTTATTTCTGAAAGAGTGGGTGTTTTCTTCCCATCTTGGCTCAGATGCTTTGATCAATAGATGGGTGGAACTCAAAATACCGCATGGAAATTTGAGAGGCAGCAGTCCAGGTACAAGAGGAAGTTTTCAGGAATTTGGGATCTTGGCCAAACAAGACAGCAGCAGCAGCTCTCTGCATTTCCTACTTTTCAAAAGTTCAGAAGCATTTTCGAAAGGTGAGACGGAAACTACCAAGTCCCAGGCCTTCAGTTTGAAAGGGAAAACTGAGCTCTTAATTAAAGGTATTGGCACTCTTGTCTTTTCCTTGCTCATTATCAATAAGCTAAAGTCTTTTGAGATTCTCAACCATCCAGATCTTGCTTGTCTCAGAGGTGCTTTTCCAAACGGCAACTGGACTTTCCTAGTTTGTTTGTTTGTTTCTCTTTCTTTCTTTTTCTTTCTTTCTTTCCTTCCTCCCTCCCTTCCTTTTTCTTCCTCTTTCTTTCCTTCTTTCCTTTCTTTCTTTCTCTTCCTTCTTTCCCTTCTTTCTTTTTTTCTTTTTCTTTCTTTCTTTCCTCCCCCCTTCCTTCCTTCCTTCCTTCCTCTTTCTTTCTTTCTTTCTTTCTTTCTTTCTTTCTTTCTTTCTTTTCTTTCCTCCCTCCTTTCCTCCCTCCCTTTTTCTTTCTCTTTCTCTTTCTCTTTCTCTTTCCCTTCCTTCCTTCCTTCCTTTCCTTTCCTTTCCTTTCCTTTCCTTTCCTTTTCTTTCTTCTTCCAAGAAGAGCTTCTTCAGTTCTTCTTAGATGAGAAGTGAAACGTTTTTAAAGAAAAAAAAAATAAAGAAAGTCCACTTGCCTTTTGGAAAACCACCTCTGGGAGATTAAGCAAAATGTTAACTACAGTGGTAGCCAAAATCATCTCCATGATGATAATGGGGCTTTTTTTTTTTTTAACCTTCCAATCCCCCTCCCAAAAAAATCGGAAATCAGCTCAAGTCTGACCTTGACCTCTCTCGCGACCTGTCGCTTCATCAGAAAGTCCAGACCCAGCGGAAGCGCCGAAAGAGAGAAAGCCCCAGCCCCGCGCTCGCCCTTCCTTTCCCAGGCACGCAGCGCAGAAGGCGGGCGGAGTCGAGCGCAGCGCCCAGCGAAAGTTTCCTTTCGGTGTTTCACCCGCCGCGCCATCCCCGCCCTGCTCCGGGTTCGCCCGCGCCTCGCCACCAGGCGGAGAGCGGGTCGTGGGAACACTCCGATCCCCGCGCGCGGCTCAGCCAGCGCAAAGGCGCGCGCTCCAAACCTCCGGCCTTTTTTTTTTTTTTTTCCCGGGCCCCGCCCCTTTCCTCTTCTTCTTCCCCCCCTTCGGGCGAGCTGCTCTCTCTCTCTCCCCCCCCACTCCCTTTCCCACCCTCCCCCGCCTCGGCCGGTGACGTCATATTCGCTTCTGCCGGCGCCATTTTGAAAAGAGGAGGGGGGGCTGGGTAAGGAGGAGGAGGAAGCGGAGAGCGGGGAAGCCCTGGAAGCGAAGCCGGCCTTGCCCGACCCCCCCTCCCTCCCCGGCGGCTGCGATCCGCTGCCATCCTCCTTCCACGTTCTCTCCGAGACCGGCCCGGCCATAGGATTGAGAAGCTGAGAGGCCGCTTCCTCCCGACCGCCGACCATTGGGCGCCCAGCATGGCAGGTAAAGGGGCCAGGGAGCCGCGCTCTGCCCGGGGACTGGCGCCGGGCGGGCAGGCAGGCAGGCGGGGGAAGCGCCGGGCTGCGCTGCTTTGCTCTTGCAGAGCCCCAACGCCGGCCCTGCGCGGAGCGGACTCGGCCGCTTCCTTTGGGCTGTCTCACAGCCCCCGGTTGCTTGCTCGCGGAAAGCCCCGGTCCGCTTTTTTTTCCCCTGCCTCGGAGGGTCTCCTGAAATCCCGGCTCCCCTCTCCCCGTGGCCGGCTCTTCCGCCTTTTCCCCTCCGCCCCGATCCCCTGGATGCATTGCCTGCATCGCTCCGCTGCAGGTTCAGATCGGTGCCCCCTTCTCGCCTCTGCCCGTCAAGCGCCCGCTCTCCTTGGCGAGGGGGAGGCAGAAGTTGGAGCGGTTTCCAACCGGGCGTTGTGTGTGTGTGTGTGTGTGTGTCGGTCGGAGGGTGGGGGAAGGAAAGATCTTTCCCTTCCCCCCCTCCCCTGCTGATAAGCCTCGGAAGGGTTCCCCCACCCCACCCCGGGCGGGGATTCGGGGCTCGGCTGGCGAGGATGGCTTTGCACGGCCCGCGTTTGGGAAATGAGGGCAGAGGGCGCGTCGGGGAAGGAAGGGAAGGGCAGGGAAAAGGGAGGGCGGTGGGCTCGTTTGCAAGCCGGCGTGCTCCTCCGAGGCCGCCGGTTTCGTGGGAAGAGACGTGCAGTCTTCGTGCCAGACGGGGGGGGGGGAAACCAAGGGTGGGGTGGGGGGGAGGTTGCTGTCAGCCTGAGCAGCCCACATGTGAATAGTTACAGGAAGCCTCCATCTCTTCCTGCTTGTTGGAGGGAGGAGGTTCCCCACCTTACAAGTGCTTGGGGTGGCTTGGAAATGCATTTGGGAGGCCTTGAGCACCAGCTTCCTTCTCTTGCTTTCTCCGCTCCATTTTTTCCCCTTTTTTCCTTCCCCCCCCCTCCTGGAATTTGTTTCACCCACACCCAGTTGCTTTAATTGCTCTAGGTTTGGAAATAGAGCACAAGAGGCTGTGTTTAGAACTGCTTTTGCAGCCCTGATGTGCTCAAAATACTATCCACCCACCCCTGGTTTTTCTTTTCTTTTTTCTTTTTCATCAATGAAAGCAGAGCTCTGAATATGCAGGGTGTTACAGCTGGACGAGGGCAGCCCACTTTTTTGAATGAGATGTACTTTTCCTTTTACATTTAATTTTATATGGAAGGCCTTGGGTTTCCAGGCGAAGCTCAGCTCTGGGCCTTGACTTGGCTCCTTCAAGATGCATGTGGGATACTGTATATGCGGATGGGGTTTATTCCTATCTCTAAACATCCTTTCCCATTTCCAGATATGGTCAAATGATCCAGGACATTGTAACAGAAGGGAGATTAAAATAGAATACTTTTGTTTCCACTTTTCCTGTGTTCTCCTGCTGTTCTTGAGCCCGGAAAGAATACATAGTTGCTTCAAACTTTGTTCTCTGGGTAGAGCAAAGTCTTAGCAGGAAAGAGGGGGGGGGGGAGAGAGAGAGAGAGAGAGAGAGAAAGAGAGAGAGAGAGAGAGAAGCCTTGCACTGTTTTTTTGATTTTAGTTTGGAGGGGGGGGTGCATGAAAAGAAAGCACTCCATTTTGACAGCCCTTTTTTTCAGGAACTGGAAGCTACCAGTTCATAATTCTTCACCGTCTTTTCCTGTATGAACCCAGCCCCAAATGACTGACTTCAAATGATATGAAGAAGAAATGAAATGGGTGGTGTCTGCTGTGTGTTTTGTACATGCCTTGGCGGCAAGGTTCAAGTGATTCATTGTCTTCGCCTAGGCAGAAATGTTCCTGAAATTTTCTCTTCGATCCGTCTTTTACGGTAGTTTGAAACTTACTTGTAACTTTAAAGCAGCCAGGCAGCCTGCCTCTTCAGCTTTTGAGGTTGTAGCTTCTGCTTTGTATTTTTCTTTTAAATCATGTTTTATTTCTTTATTATGCATTATAGGAAAGGTTCTTGGCATAGGTTTCTGTTGTTTTTTTCTTTAGGCAGTGAAGTTCGCTGCTCCGGCTGCTGCTAATGAGAATGTTGATTTATTGTTCTTAAAAACAGTGTGGAGGAAAAAAAATGTAGCCAGGTTAGGGGCAGGAGAGGATTTAATATACAAAATGAATTTTGTTTGTTAAGGCAAGGAAGCACTGCATTTTTTCAGGGAATTCTAGAAGGCATCTGAGGGAGCTTCTTGCAACTGTGGTGGATTTTTGGAATGTATTCAGGAATGTAGTTTTGGGAACTGCTAAGAATTAGCTGAGAAATTGCAGTGACTCTGGGCCGGATGGATAGATTTGCTCTGGGCTAATTCGAACCCAGTGCTTTAGGCGGCAGGTGGAGCAAGAGAATTGTTTGCGACGAGGTTATCTGTGGGCTTCAGTCTGTGCCGAGAATATTCTTGTAGGTGTGTAGAGTTTGCCTTTGCAGCGTCATTCGCTGCACTGCTTACGAGAGAGGAATGATAACACCGGGCAGCCAAATTTCCTAGACTGTGGAATTACTACACTGATTTAACTTCTGTTCTGTTTCTAGGAGCTGGCGGTGGCGGGAATGACATTCAGTGGTGCTTTTCTCAGGTGAAAGGAGCTGTGGACGATGATGTAGCAGAAGGTAAGAACGAGTTCTGAGCCCATTACCATTGCTAATGAAAGCACAGTGGAAATGTCACATTCCTGCGATAGTTAAACCTTTTCCTGACGTTGGGCATAAGAGAATATCCTGGAAGTTTACCGAAGTGTCTTGAATCACGCTTAATGGTTGTTGGGGCACTCACCTTCTTTCGGCTAGATCAGTGGTTCTCAACCTTTTTAATGCCGCGACCCCCAACCGGTCGTAAGTCGAGGACTACTCAACCGGTCGTAAGTCGAGGACTACTCAACTGGTGCAGCACCGTTTGCAGAATGGGACTTTTGGCGGGCTCAGCAGGGCAGAGACAGCCTGGACAATTCCTATTGGCTTTTGAAAGCCAATAGAATTAGACTCTATTCAAGAGAGCCTATTCTATTGGCTTTCAAAAGCCAATAGAATAAAAGGGAGTAGCACAGCTAAGGAAAAGGGGGAAAAAAGGGCGGACTGTGTTGTTTGGCGACCCCCATGAAATGGTTGTTCGACCCCAAATGGGGTCCCGACCCACAGGTTGAGAACCACTGGGCTAGATATTAAATGGTTGGAATCTGGGTAGTTTTTGAAGGGATGCTAAACATTTTTCCTATGACTCTTTCCTCTGTGTTAGAACGCGCATGCTTTGAAAATAATTTGGAAGACGAGCTTTGATTTGCACATGGCATAGCACCTCTTGTCTATTAATGAAAGCAGCCCAACTTTTTAAGGGATTGAGTTGAGTCTGGAAAAGATGTGGCTGCTTTAAGAATTGTATTAATTTTAATAAATTAGGGGCAACACTCTTTAGGTATGTGCATAAACATGAAAAAAAAAAACAAGATGTAAGCATTTTGATGAATGGCAGATGGATATTCTGGTCAACGCAGTGTGTTGCATGTGTTTCTGGGTACATACCTACAGGCATTATAATACACGTTGCATGCAATGTGTAAAATGACCTTTCATTCCTTGAGTTATTGCATTTTAAAGAAATCACCTGTGGCAGTTAAACCAGGACAATTAACCATGCGTTGTGCTTTTCTGAACAGATACCACCATTACCGTGAGCGCGTTGTGTTAATAAGCCCTGCGTTCTTGCTATAGAGAAATGTATCATGAAAATGCAGAATACTCTCTAGGTTTTTTTTTTTTTAATGATATATTTCTGGAAGCATTGGCAGAGTTGGAGCGTGCGTAGTATGGGTCAAGAGATCAGGCAGAAACAGGAACAGTTTCTGGAAAATAGCTGTGTAATCTAATCTTGGATCTTCTAAGAAGGAAAAGTCAACTATTTCAGTTGGACTTTTTCCTTGAAAGTAACATACTTGAGTCCAAAGACTTGGCTTTTCTTTTTGTTGAGGATGGCTAATACTTAGATCAGTGGTTCTCAACCTTTTTAATGCCGTGACCCCCAACCGGTCGTAAGTCGAGGACTTTCCCTGCCCGGGAGTGCCGCGCATGCGTGGTGCTGCCCCCTGTGCTGGCCAAGGCGTAGCTGGCAAGGGGCAGCGACGGCGCAGGGCGACCACCGGCTGGGCCACCAGCTGGCCCAGCCCAAGAGAGGTAAAGCACCCACTGGGCCCCACACGCGCCAGCAACCCTCCCTGCGCCCGCCGGCCTCCCACCTCCCAACCCTCCCTGGCCCTCTTTTACTTACATTTTTAGTAGTTGCTCAGCAGGGAGGGGTGGAAGCTTCCAGACAGCTTGCCTTCGCTGCAGACAACTTACAGCACCGTTTGCAGAATGGGACTTTTGGCGGGCTCAGCAGAGCAGAGACAGCCTGGATAATTCCTATTGGCTTTTGAAAGCCAATAGAATTAGACTCTATTCAAGAGAGTCTATTCTATTGGCTTTCAAAAGCCAATAGAATAAAAGGGAGTAGCACAACTAAGGAAAAGGGGGGGAAAATGGCGGACTGCATTGTTTGGCGACCCCTGTGAAATGGTCGTTCGACCCCAAATGGGGTCCCGACCCACAGGTTGAGAACCACTGACTTAGATGATAAAAGGGCCTGCCTTGTGCGCAGATGAATCTAGATTTTGTTTCTGGAA